GATTGTGCACGTGTGCGTGCGTGCGTGCGTGCGTTCGGCGTCACTCCATGCTCGTGATGCCGACCTCCTCCTCATGTGCACGTGCGCGCACGCGTGTACCTTCCCCCGTGTACAACAGGTGTACGTGAATGGCTCTGCCGTACACAGATGGACATGACAGCACTCGTGGATGTTTACGCGCATACACGCCTGCGTGCGTATAAACATACAGGCGTGGGTGCGTGTAAACGCATGCACGGACACGCGTGCGTGCACATACACACGAGCGTGCACGTATATACGCGTACAAACACGCGTGCCGCGTGCGTGCGTATACACGCGTGCGTATGTGTACACGCATGCGCGCACATACACGCATGCGTGCACGTATATACGCGTACAAACACGCGTGCCGCGTGCGTGCGTATACACGAGTGCGTACGTGTACACGCATGCGTGCACGTACACGCGTTCGCACAGGTACACGCATGCGTGCATGATCGCGCGCTCGTACACGCATGCGTGCACGTACACGCGTGCGCGCACATACACGCATGTGTGCACGTACACGCATGCGCGCACACACGCGTGCGTGCGTATACGCATGCGCGCACATACACGCGTGCGTGCGCGTACACGCGTGCGTGCGTATACACGCAGGTACACGCGTGCGCGCTCATACACGCGTGCGTTTGTATACACGCATGCGCACACGTACACGCATGTGCACACGTACACGCGTGCGTGCACATACGCGCGCGCGTACACGCGTACGCGCGTGCACATAAGAAGCTCGGCTGCAAGTGCTTTTAGTTCGAATCCCATCTGTTTACATTTTTTCTTTTTTTTCTTTTTCTGTCTTTTATCATTTAACTATTTTTCTTCAATTAACGCAAATATTTACATGATTTATTTACAATTTTACATTCCTTTTTTTTTAATGGTGGTGCATCGGTTTATCAGGGCCCCCATTACTTGTCGTCGCGATCTGTGTGCGTCCGGCTCCGATAAAAGGTGTGCCT